CCCCAAAACCCCAAAACCCCAAAACCCCAAAACCCCAAAACCCCAAAACCCCAAAACCCCTTTCTAAACTTTCTGCGCTGAAACTATTTAAAGCTGGCTCGTTTTAAAATTATTAACATCAAAATCTTGAATAATGATCAAGTCTAACCCACTCTCACAAGCTAACCAGAGAAGGAGAGCCAAAAATAAGGTTAAGCCAATAACTAGAGACCATTGTAAAAATAGTGTTGAGACTATTGCCTTCAGCACAGGTCTTAAAAGAAAGATTAAGTCTAGAGAAGATACCAGCCCTAGCTCAATAGTATCTCTAAATCTAGCAAATAGATGAGATTCCGAAACTCTTTCCAATAGGAAGAGATGGAAAACTCTAAACGAAAGGGAGGTTCTCGAGTCATACTTCGAGCTAGACCCTAACTGGAAGAGAAGCACAATCCTCTACGTCAAGGAAATGGTCAATTTATCTGAGAAACAAATATACAAATGGGGGTACGAGAAGAGAAGGAGACTTAACCTCAGCATCCCTCACGACACGTCCATTAATATGAAGTACATCACTCAAATAGGAGAGCTTGCCAAACCCATTGACTTCAGTGACCTAAACAAACTTGTGTCAGAGCTGTTTCCTGAAGAGACGAATGAAGAGGAAAGTCTCTCTAAAGAAGCAAGAGTAGTATATGATTACCTAAGAGATCAGCTAATTGAGAGAAGCGTTGAGTATGATAAGCAATCCGATTTGGAAAAACTGTTAAACGAAAGAATCCCTATCACAAACCTGGCAGTTGAAGCCAAGAAAAATTTAATGCACTGCCAGGCAAATTCCTCAGATAGAAAAATGAAAGAGCACTGTTGGCTTTCTGAAAATAATTTGAAATCTCAGATTTCTATTCTTGGAAGTACTCAAATAACCTCAATTCAAGATCCTGAAGAATGGTCAGAAAAGAGCTTATTCGTACAGTACGAGAAGGACTGTTCAGTCGATTATGATGTACGTTATGACCAAATATCTCTCAATCAGATCGATTCGGAAAATAATCAAAGTGTCGAAAATTCTATGAAAAATAAGAGCCTAAGGGTACAATCTACCATTATAGATGAAATATCTTTATGTAAAAAGTTTACAAATCCAGGCTTAGAGACCAATGAATTCTTCTCTGACCCCACTTATATGCCCAAAGACACTTTCTCCTCTACTCCAATAACCCTCTGTCTTAACCCTTTATTGGATGTAAACGACGCTCCTCTCCATGAATTCTGAGAGGATTTCCAGCTTGAACCATTGAACGGTTTAGCGATCAAATTTCCATGGGACTAAAATGTAACGAAACTGTAACTCCTTAATTTTCCTAATTTAAAAATATCCAACTCTATAAATTTCCTCCATGGCGCTGCCTAACGAAATTCTATTATTTGAAAGAATTAAGGGGTTTTGGGGTTTTGGGGTTTTGGGGTTTTGGGGTTTTGGGGTTTTGGGGTTTTGGGG